GCACTGGAACCTGTGAATGTATACTTTTTTGTTTTAGATTAATTCCTTCCTCTAAAAAGTCCCTGGCTTTCTTAGACTGTTGTAGGACTTTCGGTTTCAGAATTGCATACATGTATATTTCCCTCAAACTTTCTTTTTTTCTTCTAGGTCAGCTGAAGTCTACTTTGGAAGCTGGCCAGGTCTCATCTGCACTGACTTGCCACTCCTTTGGGGATGGATCCGGGGCTGCAGGCTTGGAGTTGAACTGCCCGTCAATGGGAGAAAACACCATGAAAACGGAAACAACTTCTCCCCTTGTGGAATTACAAGAGATTTCGACTGTGGAAGGTTCATATTTAGAGTTAAATTAATCCTCTTTTTATATACACTTTTGCTTATGCTTTGTGAACTAAAAAAAAAAAAAAAAAAGACTTTTCTGTTGATGTTTTTCACCTTTTATTAATATTCCCTTATCATTTTAATGTTATGCTCCTTTCATTTCTGATTTTCATAATTTGTGTTCCCTCTCTTAGTATGGCTAGGGCTTTATCTATTTTGTTTTCAAATAACTGAGCTTTTACTTCAATTTTCTCTATTGTTTATTTTTTAAAATATCATTCATTTCTGTTTTGATCTTGCTTTCTTCCTTCAGCTTTTTGTAGAACTTTACCTAATTGATTTTAGATCTTTCTTCCTTTTTTTTTTTCATTACCTGGTGAAAAGATCTTTCTTCCTAATATGAGCATTTAAAGTTATAAATTTCCGGCTGGGCGTGGTGGCTCGTAATGCCAGCACTTTGGGAGGCCGAGGTGGGTGGATTGCCTGAGGTCGAGAGCTCGAGACCAGCCTGCCCAGCATGGTGAAACCCCAACCCTACCAAAAATACAAAAATTAGCTGGGCATGGTGGCAGGCACCTGTAATCCCAGCTACTCAGGAAGCTGAGGCAGGAGAATTGCTTGAACCTAGGAGGTGGAGGTTGCGGTGAGCTAAGATCCCGCCATTGCACTCCAGCTTGGGCAACAAAGTGAGACTCAGTCTAAAAAATAAATAAATAAATAAATAAACAAACAAATAAATAATAAAGTCATACATTTCCTACTGAGCACTGCTTTTGCAGCATCTTACAAATTTTGATATGTTGTGTTTCTATTTTTGTTCAATTTAATATATCTTGTGATTTATTTGTTGACCATGCGTTTCTTAGAAGTATGCTGTTTTAGTTTGAAGTATTTTATGTTTTTGTAGATACCTTATTGCTGTTGATTTCTAATATAGTTTTACTGTGGTCAGAGAACATGCTCTGTAGGATTTCAATCTTTTTACATTTGTTGAGATTTAATTTATGGTCCAGCATATGATCTGTCCTGGTGAATGTTTCATATGCACTTGAGAAGAACATGTATTTTACCGTTGTTGTGTGTTTGTTCTATATCTGTCAGTTAGATCAAGGTAGTTGATGGTGTTTCTCTGACAAATTGATTTTTGTGTTTTTTTTTTTCCTTTTGGTCTAGTTCTGTCAATTTCTAAGAGAGGGTTGTTAAAATCTCTGTTATTGTGGATTTGTTAATTTCTCCCTTTAATTTTGTCTTTTTTTTTTTTTTTTTTTTTTTTTGAGACGGAGTCTCGCTCTGTTGCCCAGGCTAGAGTGCAGTGGTGTGATCTCGGCTCACTTCAGGCTCTGCCTCCCGGGTTCACACCATTCTCCTGTCTTAGCCTCCTGAGTAGCTGGGGCTACAGGCGCCCGCCACCACACCCAGCTAATTTTTTTTTGTATTTTTAGTAGAGACAGGGTTTCACCGTGTTAGCCAGGATGGTCTCGATCTCCTGACCTCATGATCCGCCTGCCTTGGCCTCCCAAAGTGCTGAGATTACAGGCATGAGCCACCACAACCGGACTAATTTTGTCATTTTTGCTTTGCATATTTTGAAGATCTTTTAAATGCATACACATTTATAATTTTTTTGGTTTTTTTTTTTGGAGACAGAATCTTGCTTTGTCACCCAGGCTGGAGTGCAGTGTTGCAGTCTCCATTCACTTCAACCTCTGCCTCCTGGGTTCAAGCAATTCTCATGTCTCAGCCTCCCGAGTAGCTAGGATTACAGGCTTGTGCCACCACGTCCAGCTAATTTTTGTATTTTTAGTAGAGACGGGGTTTCTCCATATTGGCCAGGTTGGCCTTGAACTCCTGACTACAGATGATCTGCCCACCTCGGCTTCCCAAAGTGCTGGGATTACAGATGTGAGCCACCGTGCCTGGCCTAAATGTAATTGTTGATATGGTTGGGTTTTGTTCTAACATTTGACTGTGTTTTGCCTTTTTTTTTTTAAGACAGAGTCTTGCTCTATGCAACAAAGTCTTGCTCTATTGCCCAGGCTGGAGTGCAGTGGCACGATTTCTGTTCACTGCAACCTCTGCCTCTCGGGTTGAAGCGATTCACCTGCCTCAGCCTCCTGAGTAGCTGGGATTACAGGCACCTGCCACCACAGTCAGCTAATTTTTGTATTTTTTAGTAGAGACGGGGTCTCACCATGTTGGCCAGGCTGGTTGTCTGTTTATCTTATTTGTGTTTTGTTTTGTTTCTTGTTTTTTAGGTTAATATTTTAAGAATTTCATTTTAATTCATCTGTTAGCTTTTAGATGTATTTCTAGCATTTTTAAAGAGGTTACTCTATGGATTATGGTACGCATCCTTAACTTTTCACAGTTCACTTTAGAGTTAATATTGAACCACTTTATGTAAAAATGTTCCATTAACCTCCCCCACGTTGTAGTTGTCACATGAATTATATCTACATATCCTATAAATTCCTTTTTAAAAAAAGTTTTATTTATTTTTTTGAGATGGAGTTTCACTCTTGTTGCCCAGGTGGAGTGCAATGGCGTGATCTTGGCTCAGTGCAACCTCTGCCTCCCGGATTCAAGCAATTCTCCTGCCTCAGCCTCCCAAGTAGCTGGGATTATAGGCATGTGCCACCACGCCTGGCTAATTTTTTTTTTGTATTTTTAGTAGAGATGGGGTTTCACCATGTTGGTCAAGCTGGTCTGGAACTCCTGACCTCAAGTGATCTACCCGCCTTGGCCTCCCCAAAGTCCTGTGATTATAGGCGTTAGCCACTATGCCTGGCCTGTTATAAATTTCATAATGTAGTATTATAATTTTTGCTTTACACAATTATGTATGTTAAAGACAATAAGGCAAAAGCAACAGTCGTATTTACACATGCCTGTTTCCAATATTCTTTATTTCTTCAAAGATTTCTTTTCAGCATGAAGAATTTCCTTCAGATTTTCTTATAGGTTCCTGATGACAAATTCTTCTGGTTTTTGTTTAAACTTGACTTTTTTTTAAAAATAGAGTCTCACTGTTTCCCAGGCTGGAGTGCAGTGGCACAATCACAGCTCAGAGCAGCCAGGACCTCCTGGACTCAAGTGATCCTCCTGCCTCAGTCACTTGAGTAGCTGGGACTACAGGCGTGTGCCATTATGCCCAGCTAATTTTTTTTTCTTAACTTTTAGTTAAAAAACAAATAAGACTATGTGTCTTTAGAATTGCCTACTTTTTATTTGTATAACTTAAAAATTTTTTTTGAATAGTTTTTTTTTTTTTCCTTGGCCAGATGCTATATAGTTAAAATAAATGTAGTAGAGCAGCTGTTTGAAAATAGTGAATCTCAGTACTCTGGGAGGTCGAGACGGGAGGATCACTTGAGGCTAGGAGTTCAAAACTCGCTATATTGAAGGTCTTGCATCAACATAGTGAGACCCTCTCTCTTCAAAAAATAAAAAAATTAGCCTGGCATGATGGTTCATGCCTATAGTCCCAGCTACTTGGGAGGCTAAGGTGGGAGGATCACTTAAACTGGGGAGGTCGAGGCTGCCATGAGCTGTGATTGTACCACTGCCAGCCTGGGTGACAGAACAAGACCCTATCTCTTAAAAATTTTTTAAAAATTGTCCGGGCGTGGTGGCTCACGCCTATAATCCTAGCACTCTCGGATGCCTAGGCAGGCAGATCACTTGAGGTCAGGAATTCGAGACCAGACTGGCCAACATGGTGAAACCCCGTCTCTACTAAAAATACAAAAATTCGCTGGGCGTGGTGGCGCGTGCCTGTAGTCCCAGCTACTCTGGAGATTGAGGCAGGAGAATTGCTTAAACCCAGAAGGGAGAGGTTGCAGTGAGCTGAGATCGCACCACTGTACTATTCCAGCCTGGGTGACAGAGTGAGATTCTGTCTCAAAAAAAAAAAAAAAAAAAAATTAAAAAAATTAGAAGAGTACTAAAGTATTCATTCCTGGCTCATCTCTGCTGCTGTTCTCTTAGTCCTGTGTCTAGCTGAGTCCATAGTGTTGTGCTTCAGCCTTGAGGGCTTGTCGGGGCAAGGGATCTTCCTTTTTTTGCTCATCCTCCTCTCAGTGTCGGGGCTCTTCCCAGCCTGCTCTTCTGACAGATTGGGCAAATTATTATTATTATTATTATTTTTTTTTTTTGAGACGGAGTCTCGCTCCGTCGCCCAGGCTGGAGTGCAGTGGCGCGTTCTGGGCTCACTGCAAGCTCCGCCTCCCGGGTTCACGCCATTCTCCTGCCTCAGCCTCCCGAGTAGCTGGGACTACAGGCGCCCGCCACCTCGCCCGGCTAGTTTTTTGTATTATTTTTAGTAGAGACGGGGCGGGCAAATTATTAAAGTTCATATATAAATGAGGTGGAAATTTAATCTCGGAATTTAGTTGTCTGTCGTGGCAGGGAGAGCTCTAGATGATCAGCCACATCCCTTGTGACTCAGCAGACTAAGCTTTTAATTGTGTTGTCTTAAGGGTAGTGTTATGTTAGATGTCACTTGAAATTTGTAGTTAATTGTTCCTATACCACTAGGAAATACGCCATGCATATAAGAGACTAGATTGGAAGCTAACTCCAGTGCCTTTTGTAAAGTTTACGTATTTTATGGGGTCTTGGGCTCTACTTTTTCCCAAGATATACACATACGTAATTTCTGTCTTGCATTAGCTAACTTAGCTATGTTTCTGGATTGTGGAGAGCACAGAATCAAGTATAGTAAGGGTGGGACGGGTGAGTCTAGGGGAAAGGATGATGATGAGATTTCACGTTGTCTTTTGCATCCTTACAAAGGTCCTTTCTAAGGGAATAATTTTGCCTTTCTAAGGGAATAATTTTGAAACCATTGCAACGGATTGAAGCACTTATCTGTTTTCCAAGAGGGTTAATAGTAAGGGTGGAGGTCAAATTACTTTGAGCTTGAGCCAAGAGGAATAAATATAGCTTGGAACCCATTACTGTATTTTTTTTTTTTTTTAATGAGGTATTTGCTTTTTGCTTTAGTGACTTAAAAGCCAGAGTAGATGGCTGGGTCTAGTGGCTCATGCCTGTAATCTCAGCACTTTGGGGGGTCGAGGTGGACAGATCACTTGAGGTCAGGAGTTCGAGACCAGCCTGGCCAACATGGTGACACCCCATCTCTATCAAAAATACAAAAATTACCCAGGTATGGTGGCAGGCACCTGTAATCCTAGCTACTCGGGAGGCTGAGGTGGGAGAGTTGCTTGAACCTGGGAGGTGGAGGTTGCAGTGAGCCGAGATCGTGCCACTGTACTCCAGCTTAGGCGACAGAGTGAGACTCTATTTCAAAAATAGAAAAATAAAAAAGCCAGAGGAGAATGCAGTTGTGACTGTTGTAATTGGGCAAGCATTCATTTATGCAGTAAAACAGAAGTTAGTAATTCCCCTAGAAGTTTAGAGGTCTCAGGCTCGGTGTGGTGGCTCATTCCTGTAATCCCAGCACTTTGGGAGGCCAAGGTGGGCAGGCAAATCACCTGACATTAGGAGTTAGAGACCAGCCTGGCCAACATGGGAAACCTCATCTCTACTAAAAACAAAAATTGCCTGGCGCGTGCTCCACGCTGTAATCCCAGCACTGTTGGAGGCTGAGGTGGGCAGTACATGAGTCAGGGCGATCAAACCATCCCTGCTATCAACGTGGAACCCTTGTCCTCTACTAAAACATAAAAAAAAATTAGCCCGGGGGGGCATGCGTGCGGGCGCCTGTAGTCCAGCTACCTCGGAGGTCGAAAGCAGAGAATGGCAATGGAAACGCCTGGGAGTTGGAACTCAGTTGAGCTGAGATTGTCCACTGCCAACTCCAGCCGGCCCAACAGAAACCGAGACTCTGTTCTCAAAAAAAAAAAGATACAAAAATTTGCCGGGCATGGTGGTGGGCGCCTGCCCAGATACTTGGGAGGCTGAGGCAGGAGAAGTGCTTGAACCTGGGAGGGAGAGGTTGCAATTTGCCGAGATTGTGCCACTGCACTCCAGCCTGAGAGACAGAGTGAGACTCCATCTCAAAAAATAAAAAAAAAAAGAAGTTTAGAGGTCATATTATTCTCTGAAAATGGGCTGCTGCAAATATTTAGCAAGTGCCTGATAAGTGCCAATGCCAGACCCTATTCTTTTCTTCTTCTTCTTTTTTTTTTTTTTTTTTTTTGAGACAGAGTCTTACTCTTTTCCCCAGGCTGGAGTGCAGTGGTGCGATCTCGGCTCACTGCAACCTCCGCCTCCCAGGTTCAAGCAATTCCCCTGCCTCAGCCTCCCGCTTTCTTGTTTTGAAGGCGGGGTCTGACTCTTTCGCCCATGCTGTAGTGCAGTGGTATGATCTTAGATCACTGCAGCCTCTAACTCCTGTGCTCAAGTGATCCTCCTGTTTCAGCCTCAGACCCTATTCTAAGCTGTCTCATTGGTTAATATTCTATAAGAAGCATAGAATAAACAAGAAAGAAAACCAAATAGAAGTACAGGTCCATTCAGTTAAGTTATTTTTAGTAAATACCTGGTAGAAGTGGGACACTTTGCCACAGGATCCAGATCAGTGATTCTAACCCATGAAATCTTGCGTGTTTGTTGTTAGTTATAAAATGAATGAATTGTCATTGAAGTATAAAAAATTAACAAATGATTTACTTCTAAATTAACTACTTAAGATTTAGCATGATGACTATAATATTTTTTGCAAATGATTTACTTTTAAATTAACCGGTTAAGATTTAGTGTAATGCCTATAGTATTTCAGCTTTAATGAATTTGTGTTCTCTATGGTTTCTTGAGCAGGAGAGTCATAGATCTACAGCCATTTTAGTTTGGGAAGTTATGGGTGTCTATGGTTTTTCTTATTATCAATTATGTATTGTGATGGAAAACTGATAGATAATTCATTATTCTGGGGGTTAGAGAGATGAATGTGACATCTGGTCTAGGCCCTTCCAGGTCTTTCTGTCCAGAGGAATGGATGAGACTTCAGATACCTATAGTACAAGAAAGATGATGTCATGACAAACTTAGAATAAAACTACGAGAATAGAGAGAAGAATGACAGTGATAATGTGTGCTACATAGAAATTGACCTCTTCGGGTTGGCCTGTGAGAGGTTTTCTTGCTCTAGGGAGATTCTTTAAGCAATCACTATGTCAACAAACACAGATGTTTCCCTTTCTGAATTCATATGATGAAGATCAGGGATCCAAACTTATTCAAAAAGCTAAAGAGGCACTATTCGTACCTGTTGGAATAGAAGGTTTTTCAGCAATTGTTGCATATGGATTATACAAATTGAAGAGCAGGGGAAATACTAAAATGTCCCTTCATCTGATCCACATGTGTGTGGCAGCCCAAGGCTTTGTTGTAGGAGCAATTACTGTTGTTATGGGCTATTCCATGTATCGAGAATTCTGGGCAAAACCTAAGCCTTAGAAGAAGAGATGCTGTCTCGGTCTTGTTGGAGGAGCTTGCTTTAGTTAGACTTCTCATTATTGAAGTTATGTATTATTGTTGAAAATAAACTAATTTGTATGGGTTTAGATGGTAACATGGCATTTTGAATATTGTCTTACTTTTTTACAGGCTTGATATGCCTGGTGACCGAATTACTAGTGACTAGTTTACTAACTAGGTCATTCAAGGAAGTCAAGTTAACTTAAAAGAAACATGTGACCTAAATGCAGTTGATGGTGTCGAAATGTCCACCTTCTTAAATTGTTAAGATGAACTTAGTTCTAAAGAAGATAACGGGCCAACCCCGAAGTATTCCCAGTTTGCTGCAGAGTCTCATGTATTTTGGATGTTATAGAAGAGTCCTATTTGCCCCAGTTAATTTAACTATTTTTCTGCCTGTTTTGTGGGCTGGCTGGCTCTTTAAGAACTCTGTCCAAAAAGTGCTTGGAATATAACTTGTAAAGCTTCCCACAACTGACAATATGTATATGTGCGTGTGTTTAAACCAAATCTAGAAAACTTACAGTAGAGCTGCATAATAGCAGTATTTATTAAAGAATCACAGTTGTAAACATGAGAATAACTTATGGATTCTAGTTTATTTCTTTAGTAATTGCAAATTATATTTTTGCTGCTGTTATGTTAGAATAATTTTTAAATGTCATCTTGAAATAGAAATATGTATTTTAAGCACTCATACAAAGGTAAATGAACACTTTTTAAATGTGTGCATTGCTTATTTTTTCCATAAGAATTATAAACATTAAACTGAACAAATTACCTATAATGGTTTTGATTAATGGCTTAAGAGCGATCTCGTTAGGCCAGACAGTATACCCAAACTTTTATATACCATAGAATGTTATTACGCTTGTGAAATTCTCTTATCTAACTAAATTTACATTCCATGGTGGTAACATGGTATATGTATTGTTATTAAAGTGACCCATGTAAAAAAGAAAGAAATTGACCTTTCAAGACCAGCCTGGGCAACATGGTGAAACCCCATGTCTCCAGAAAAAAAAAAAAAAAAAAAAAAAACCCAAAACAAAACCCCAAAAACCAAATTAGCTGGGTGTAGTGGCATGAGCCTGTAATCCCAGCTACTTGTGAGGCTGAGGTGGGAGGATTGATTGAGCCCTGGAGGTCAAAGCTATAATAAGCCATGGTCATGGCAACACTGTGCTCCAGAGCCGCGACAGAGTAAGACCGTGTGAAAGAAGGAAAGAAAGAGAGAAAGAGAAAGGAGAGAGAGAGAGAAATTAATTGACTTCAACTCACTTACTGAGCCTTTAACATATGCCTAGGACTGCTAACTGTTGAGTATGCAAAGATGACTGGGCACTCTTGGTTTTAGTGTTCATTAACTGCTATTTGGATTTGCTATTTGCCTCTTGGGGAGAGGTTGGTGCTTTAGGGGCAGGGATGGAAGAAGGTAGTACTTGCACAGGACCTTGAAGGATGGGTAGCACTTAGGCATTTGAAACTGTAGGCAAAGCAGCTAGCATGGCATGACCACAGGGCCATTTCTGAGACTGTCAGGTATGTGTTCTGACTTGATTGCAGACTTCCTGAAGTGGGTTAAGGTGGGGTAAGTTGCTGCCAAACTGAGGTTGGTTGCTTTGAGGAATTTATTGAGAAACTGAAAAATGCTTCATTTTCAGGATAGAGAGATAACCTGTGTTGGCAGGGTTGCTTTCCTTCCATTTAGCTATTTTGTGGCCATAAGGCATTTTTTTCTGCATATATTTTAAAGAAGTTTTTATTTTGAAATAATTTGTTATTAAAAATGTTGTCAAAAATGGTACAAAGAATATACCTTTAACCAAATTCCCCGATTGCCAGCAATTTACCATATTTGCTTTATTATTCGATTTTTTTTCTTCTCTGAGATGGAGTCTTGCTCAGTCACCCAGGCTGGAGTGCAGTGGCGCAATCTTGGTTCACTGCAAGCTCCGCCTCCCAGGTTCATGCCATTCTGCTGCCTCAGCCTCCCGAGTAGCTGGGACTACAGGTGCCCACCAACACGCCTGGCTAATTTTTTTTTGTGTTTTTAGTAGAGATGGGGTTTCACCATATTAGCCAGGATGGTCTCGATCTCCTGACATCATGATCTACCCGCCTCGGCCTCCGGAAGTGCTGGGATTACAGGCGTGAGTCACCGTGCCCAGCTTATTATTCTATTTTTTAAAGTACTTTTTCTAGATGGGATGCAGTGGCTCACACCTGTAATTCCAGCACTTTGGGAGCCTGAGGCGGGCAGATCACTTGAGGTCAGGAGTTCGAGACCAGCCTGGCCAACATAGTGAAACCCTGTCTCTACAAAAATAAAAAAATTAGTCGGGCATGATGGCACATGCTTGTAGTCCTAGCTACTTGAGAGGCTGAGGCAAGAGAATCTCTTGAACTTGGGAGGTGGAGATTGCAGTGAGCCAAGATCGTGCCACTGTACTCCAGCCTAGATGACAGAGTGAGACTCTGTCTCAAAGAAAATAAAAAATTTTAATTTTTTTTTTAGAAAGTACTTTTTCTGAATTGTTTAAAAATAAGTTCCAGACCTTTATCCCTAAATACTTTTTTTTTTTTTTTGAGACAGAGTTTCTCGCTTTTGTCACCCAGGCTGGAGTATAGTAGTGCGATTTCTACTCACTGCAACCTCTGCCTCCGGGGTTCAAGAGATTCTCCTGCCCCAGCTTCCCAAGTAGTTTGGATTACAGGCGCACGCTACCATGCCTGACTAATTTTTGTATTTTTAGTAGAGACTGGGTTGGTTTCCATGTTGGCCAGGCTGGTCTTGAACTCCTGACCTCAGGTGATCCACCCACCTCAGCCTTGCAAAGTGCTGGGATTATAGGTGTGCGCCACCACCGCACCTGGCCTCCCTAAGTACTTTTTAGAAAATCCCCTATTTAATTAGCCCGGTGTGGTGGTGTGCACCTGTAATCCCAGCTACTCGGGAGGCTGAGGTGGGAGAATTGCTTGAACCCAGGAGGCGGAGGTTGCAGTGAGCCAAGATAGCACCACTGCACTGCAGCCTGGGTGACAGAGCAAGACTCTATCAAAAAAAAAGAAAATAAGAAAAAGAAAAAAAAAATCCGTATTTCCTAAAGACAAGGACATTCTTCTACATTACCACAATATAATTTTCAAAATCAGGACTTTCTTCAGACTTTATCAGTCTGTGCCTTTCACCCCATTTATGGCAGTCATCTTGTCTTTATTCTGTATGCTTTTTCTGGGCAATTGAAAAAAATATTGGTAAATTTGAAAAGAACTCCAGAAATATACAAGGATAATTCAACTAACATTCTTGTCTCCCATAGTCCCATGGCCCACTACTGTTAGTATTTGGTCATGAGGGCCTCAGGACCATACACTGGCCTGCAGGGCCCAGCTTCTTCTGGCCACCTGTTGACTCACCTTCCTGTTGATTCTGCTGCAGCCACATGGCCTCCTTGCTATCCTGCAGGTATAGCAGATACACTCCTACCTCTGGGCCTTGTTCAAGCACACTTTTATTGAATACTTTTTATTCCCAGCCAGAGCAAGTAGGTCCATGGGGGAACATATCAGTAATGTGATGGGTAATATTTATTTATGTATTCATTCATTTATTTGTTTGAGAAGGGTTTTGCTCTGTCACCCAGGCTGGAGTGTAGTGGCATGATCATAGCTCACTGCAGCCTCGATCTCCTGGGCTTAAGCCATCTTTCCGCCTCAGCCTCCTGAGTAGCTAGGACTATAGACATGTGGCACCAAGCTTGGCTAATTTTTAAATTTTTTGTGGAGATGGGGTCTTGATATATTGCCCATGCTGGTCTTGAACTCTGGGCCCCCACCTTGGCCTCCCAAAGTGGTGGGATTGGAGGCGTGAGTCACTATGCCCAGCCCTGTCTCCTTTCACAATTACATATAATTAGGCCGGGCACAGTGGCTCAAGTCTGTAATCCCAGCACTTTGGGAGGCCAAGGCAGGCAGATCACCTGAGGTCAGGAGTTAGAGACCAGCCTGGACAACATGGCGAAACCCTGTTTCTACTAAAAATACAAAAATTTAGCCAGGTGCGGTGGTGTGTGCCTGTAGTCCCAGTTACTCTGGAGGCTGAGAGAGGAGAATTGCTTGAGCGTGGGAGGCGGAGGTTGCAGTGAGCCGAGATCACATTATTGCACTCCAGCCTGGGTGACAGAACGACACTCTGTCTCAAAAAAAAAAGAAAAGAAAAAAATGAAAAGAATATAATTAGCTAGGCATTGTGGCACACGGCTGTAGTCCCAGCTACTCGGGAGGCTGATGCGGGAGGATCGCTCTAAGCCCAGGCATTCAGTGTTGCAGTAAGTTATGATCCTACCACTGCACTCCAGCCTTGACAACAGAGTGAGACCCTGTCCCTGGAAAAACAAAAACAAGAACAATTACGTATAATTTATTTCATTGTATGGATGTTCCATAATTTATTTACCTAGCCCCTGCTGAAATATATTTAAGTTCTTTCTAACTTTTCCCTATTAATTATCCCTGTTTTACAGACAAAGAGCCTAATATTTGGCATGAAGGAGTGACTTAGCTAGATTGGCACACTTCCTAATGGTCGGTATTGTAGAGGTTGGTAAAATTAAGTTAAATTTTTGTTTGAGACAGGATCTCACTCTGTCATCCAGGCTGGAATGCAGTGGCACTGTCACGGCTCACTGCAGTCTTGACTTCCAGAACTTCAGTGATCCTCCCACTGTTCAGCCTCCTGAATCATTCTGACCACAGGCACTTTCCATCACTCCTGGCTAATTTTTGTATTTTTGGTAGAGACAGGGTTTTGCCATTTTGCCCAGGCTGGTCTCGAACTCCTGAGCTCAAGCAATCCACTTGCCTCGACTTCCCAAAGTGCTGAAATTACAGGTGTGAGCCAGTGTACCTTGGCCCAGAGTCTGTAACTGTTGTTTTCCTGCTGAGTGCCTAATTCCATCTGATAAGATGCTGGGTGCTATATAAATCAAGTGAAATGAACAGAGTCCCTGCCTTTAGGGGCATTGCACAGTATGTGATGCAAACTTCTGCTCTCGGGGCACTCATTAAAGCAGTGTGTACACTCAGAGTAAGAGACTTAGTAGGGTGGCTAGGTTTGGAGGGTAGTGTGTGGTACAAGTGATGTCAGTACTCCAGGACTGGATGGTGCCTTTTGAATTCTTTGAGTTGTGGAAAATGTCTTGATCTGGAAACTGAATGGTGTTTCTGGTGTTTCTTTTGGAACATAGGTTTAGTGGTGTGAGTACAGAATGATCCAGAAAGATTGCTGGGGGAACGGGAGGTTGTTGAGAACTCATTCACCAGGAATGTATTACGTAAGTAAGCAGGAAATAGGGCAGGACCGTGACCATCTTCAGAAGCATCCAGCCAGGCCCCTGGAAGCTGGGATGCTGCGTTAGTCACTCTTTAGTGATTGCTGTCCTGAGCTGGTGCCACAGTCTTGCGTTTTTAAACTGAGATGGAGTCACAATCTGATAAATTGGTGTGAAGGAGGCTCGTGGGCAGCAGGAGGAGGAGGAGCTGGGAGGGCAACACATCTAGTCCAGAGCTAACTGTTCCAACCTAATTCTGGCATTTGGGACAGCTCTGCCACCTTGTGGAATGAGTGCTCAGTGATTTTTGTGGGGGCTGAGTGCATACATCTGCATTCCAGGGGCTAGCCTTGAAATGTTCACCAGGACTATATGTGGGTGTGGTTCCTTTCCTTCCACTTAGGTATTTATGGCTTCAAAGTATTCTTCCTATGTATATAGATGCATATTTTTTCCTGAATATTTATTTTAGGAAGTTTTTATTTTGAAATAATTTAGATTTATACACCTATGTAGTGTGGGTTAAAAAAATGACAAAAAATAATTTCAGATTTATAAAAAAGTTGCAAAAATAGCAAAAAGATTTCCCTTATACCTTTCCCTATGTTGGAAAATATAGATTCCCCAATTGCTAGCGATTTACCATGTTAGCTTTATTATTCTCTCCCAGATTTTATTTTATTTTTTGA